GGGGCTGGGGGATGTCTCTCCCCAGTGATGGTGGGCAAGGTGCACAGGACACGGGGCTGCGTGGGCTGGCGAGCCATTGGGGCATGCGCCAGAGACCCCACGACCACCTGGTGTGCCACAGGACCCCCAGCACCTACATGGTCCCTTGCAGTGGGGCTACAGGGAAAGCCAGGCTGTTCCAGGGAGCCCCATTGGGTGTCTTTGCTCCCGCCTCAGCACTAGAACATCACTGGCACCATTGGCCCCATGGCTACTGGCTCTGGGGCTCTACTGGCCCCACAGCTCCCAGCCCCACAGCTCTGCCAGCCCTGGGTCTGCCAGCCCTGCAGGCAGTACTGTTGGGAAGGACCCTGGCCATGGGGATTCCTTGTGGCAGGCCAGGGTGGGGGCCAGCAACAGGATGCGATGCGCAGATCCTATCGGCCCTATGCACCAGCTGGGCAGGGCCGCAGCCGGCAGATCTGCGCCAGCCACCCTTTCCATCCTGGTCATGGCAGCAGTGCCACACACAGGCAGGGGACAGGGGACGGAGGACAGCAGCTCCTCTTTCCACCTGGCACTCTTGCCCCAGCTGTTGTTTTCTGAGAAAAAATCCACTTCTTGGCTGGCTGTCAGTAAAACACCAGCTATCTGTGGAAACACAAGCCCCCCCTGTCACTGGACTTCCTGGGCCAGCAGGAAGGTGCCCTCCATCTCAACGTGTGGAAACAGCCGGAGCACAGCCCATTTGCTCCATTGTGTCACATTACAACCCAGAAAAGCCTGGCTCCACAGTGCTGGCCGATAGGTTTGAACCTCAGAAGGGACCAGGTGTTCCACTGCTGGTATTTCAGGGGAAAAATCACATTTTCTGGGAGTCTCCAGGGCAGCTTGCAGCTGCCAGCAGCTGATTTGGCACTTGCAAAGACTCTGCGAGGCACCTCAGTCCATCAGAGATGCTTGTCCTGTAGTGAGCCCTGCCACAGCGGCCTGCAGCATGATGCCCGGCATGGGGACCTGCACCGCCCTGGTGGCCCTGCAGCCCCCCAGCCAGCCCAGGATGTGGCCTCTGGCTGCGTGGGCAAGACTGGGGCCAGCACAGCGCAGCGGAAGGAGGGGGCAGAGGAGCCGGCGTGGGCGCCTGGAGCAGCTGCTCAGCCTCCCAGGGCTCAGCAGTGTTTCCTGCAGAGATCAAACTGCCGGGGCTCGGCCCCTGGCCCCATCGCCCTGGTGGCCCTGCAGCCCCCCAGCCAGCCCAGGATGTGGCCTCTGGCTGCGTGGGCAAGACTGGGGCCAGCACAGCGCAGCGGAAGGAGGGGGCAGAGGAGCCGGCGTGGGCGCCTGGACCAGCTGCCCAGCCTCCCAGGGCTCAGCAGTGTTTCCTGCAGAGATCAAACTGCCGGGGCTCGGCCCCTGGCCCCATGGTGGAGGAGCTGCGGTGGGAAGCACAACCCAGCAAAGCCCCCATCACCCAGACACAGGGACACTTGGGCACCTGCAAACACCGAAAAGAGTAAGAGTGAGATTAATTTAGCCGGGATGGAGACATCAGGCACAAATCCTGTAAACCCCACAATTTTCTCACTGGACAAGGAAAATGGGTTGGTAGGGAGTGGTGTCCCTCCTATCCTACAGTGCCAGGGGCTGCAAACACTGTCCATGGGGCAACTAAGGGGAGCGCATGGAGGAATCGGGGCAAAACAGCACATCTGGAGCAAGAGGAGCCAATGGCACGGATGCAGGAAGGACAGCTGCTTGGCTAGCAGTCCTTTAGAGGAAGACGTGGGGCTGCATGCAGCCCAGGCATCACCGACACAGCATGTATGAACAGGGTCGGGGGGAGCCTGGCATTGCAGGCAGGCTGCACTGCAGCTCCGCCAGGAAGAGCTGGGCTTGTTTGGCTCACATGGAGGAAGGCTGATGGGATGTGCAGCCCCCCTGGGCATGTGCTGTGTCCCCTCACAGTGCACCCCCAGGCTCTGGTGCAACCACCCACCACCACGGTGCCCAGCAGTGTCTGTCCCTTGCAGGGGTGGAGTGTGTCCTCTTCAACGAGGAGTACATGACCTGCACGTGGGGGAGCAGAGAGACACTCACAGCCAACTACTCCCTCTACTACTGGTAGGTGCCTCTGCCCCACAGCCAGCCCCACAAGCAGGGTGTCCAGCGCTGGGTCCCCACACAGGAGGCTCCTGCCAGCATTGCTGGTCCCAGCATCAGCCTGCTCCTCTTCTGTGAGCCCAGGGTGGGGGAGACTGTCACCGGGGCAAGCAGCGGGATGAGCCAGGGAGAGGGGTGCTGGTAAGGGCTGGGGTGTGCAGGGTCTTGGGAAGCCCTGATAACCCACTGTGGCACAGGTATGAGAACAGGTCCCCCGTGGTGGAGTGCAAGCACTACTTGCAGGACCAGGACATCACTGTCGGCTGCCACTTCAACCAGAGTGAGATCATCCAGTTCCAGCCTTTCCACGTCCTCGTCAATGCCAGCCTCGGCGGCAGGACCCTGGAGATCCCCAGTGAGCGCATGCAGCTGCAGGACCTGGGTATGGAGTGGTAGGGGGTGCCCACTGTCCTCTCTGGGGCTGCTGTGGGGCAGGAGCAGGTCTGTGGGTCCCCAGGCTGGTGGCAGGGCCACTGGGGACGGCACTCACCAGGCATCACCTGTTCCCTGCAGTGAAACCAGAGGCGCCTGTCAACCTGACCATCCGCAACATGAGCAGCAATCAGCTGCAGCTGACCTGGACCTCCCCGTACCCCAAAGTCCAGTGCCTGGAGCATGCCATCAAGTACAAGAGCAACAAGGACACCAGCTGGACGGTGAGAGCCCCCCAGATGCGGCACCCCCACGGTTGTGCCCAGGAATGAGCTGTGCACCAGACTCCACAGCAGTGCCAGCCCTCACTGCATGGCCCACGTCTCTCTGCAGGAGCACCGGGTGAAAGGAGACATCTTCTCCTTCCCTAGTGTGGACTACGAGAAGTACTACACCTTCTACGTACGCAGCAAGATCAACAGCTACTGTGGCAGCACCCAGCTCTGGAGTGAGTGGAGCATCCCTGTGGTCTGGGGCAGCAACTCCACCAGCAAGGGTAGGTCCTGGGGCCTGTGGTGTGACAGGACAGGCTGGGGCATGGTGGGGCTCAGCAGGCAAGGGATGGCCAAGCAAGTGGAAAACTGGCCCGAGGCAGCAGCTCGAGGTCAAGACCCATCTGAGCACTGAGGGTGCAGGCAGCTGCATTACCCTCTGTGTACTTTGTACTTCTGGAAGCCAAACAGCCCCTGCCAGTGGCACCTGCTGACTTATATGAGGGGTTTCTTAGTCCTTGGAGGGTTGCTCTGGCATGGCCAGTCCAGGACAGGGTCACCAGCCAGTTGTGGTGACCAGCATGACAGGGCTTGGGTACAGGCCCCTTCTCCATCCTCTGCTCCCAGCTGAGCCCCGCCATGGACGATGCCGAGCTCCTATGGCTGCCCATGAAGGGCCACCAGCATGCCCACCCCACTGGCCTGGCGGTGCACTGGCTGGGAGTCCATGTTACTCCGGCTCTTTCCAGGCATGGCAGAGGAGCAGCTACACTGGTTCTGGATTCACACGGTCTTGGTCCCCATTGCCTCCTGCCTGCTCCTGCTGGTCCTCATCGTCCTGCTGGTGCGCATGGAAAGGTGAGCGTGGGGGGGCTGGTGGAGGGCAGCAGCACTGGCTGGGGCCTTTCCCCTCTGACACGTTTCTCCCACACAGGGTGTGGGTCATCCTCATGCCCCGAATCCCCAACCCCAGCAAGAACTTCGATGACCTTTTCATCACCCACAATGGCAACTTCCAGGTAAGGCAGCTGCAGGCAGCCCTGCCCCGGGCTCACCCCCTGCCCAGTGCGTTTGGGGCTGTCTGGGTGGTGGCTTCTCTCATCCTGCTCTGCTCCCTGCAGGAATGGGCGGGAGTCCCCAAAGACATTGTGGAGAGCTTCAAGCCCAACTACAGTGAGAACATCTGCTATGTGAGCGAGCTACCTCCCAAGGACAGCTATGAGCATCTCTGGGAGGGCAGCAACCACCCACCATCAGTGATGCCCGGGGCCCCGGCTGCGCCTCACGAGCACAGCCCCTACAAGAACAGCTATGTGTGAGCATGACGTGCTCCTGCACTCCTGCACCCTGCATGCTTCACACCCCTGCTACGCCACAGGCTTCGCTCCCACCCTGCCTCCACCAAATGCCTGGGACCCCCAGCCCTGCTCCCTGTCATGGCCACACTCAGCCCCCCGTGACATGGCAGCTGTGCCACACCACAAAGTGCTGGGTGCACTGCAAGATGCTACATGAGCATGGTGTGCTGGGTGCACTGGGTGGTGCAATGGGTGCACTGCACAGTACACAGGGTGCAATGTGTAGCACCTTGGGTGCAGTATTTGTTGCACTGGGTGCTCTATGCGATGCATTGGGTGCACTGGGTGCTGCTCTGAGTGCATTGGAGCACACTGGGCACACTTCATGGCGTGTCAGCACCTGCCCTGTCCTGTCCTTGGGGGCATCCAGGAAGGCAGGGTGACATCCCACCATGAGCCCTGCCACATGCAGGATTCCTTGTGGTGTTGCCACGGCCAGAGCAGAGCCATGGGAGCATTGGAGCTGCTGGGGGCTCGCTGAGCCCCCTCCTTCCTCCATGGTTCCTGCAAGCACACCCAGGGATGTGTCCCGGTGAGGGGGCAGCCCAGGGGCCCGACCCTAGCTGATGCCAAGCACAGCTGCGGCCAAGCAGGCAGGAGCCACCAACCGACCAATGGTGACACTGGGGCTGAGGAGCGCCAAGCACCAGAAGGGCCAAGCCACCATGTCACCCCTGGCCCCGAGGACTGCTGCCCCTGGGGCACCAGGCTGTACCCCTGGGACCTCACCGTTCCTTTGCCTGCACCCCGGGTTTCCCACTGCAATAAAGCTCTGCTGCATGGGGGCTTGGCTGGGCTCAGCTCACAGCGTCTGGGGGAAGCGCCAGCAGGGCCACACACCCTACTCACCTCTGACCTCACAAATGCTGCGGGGCCCAGCCCCTGGTCCTGGGCTCGCAGTGGCAGCATGTTCATCCGCGTCAAGTATGGGAGTGAGTCCCCTCCTGGACATCCCACGAGTGCCTGCTCCCCCAGCATGGGGTGGGGGGCAGGATGTGCCGTGGCCTTAACAGGCGGCGGGCTCGGCCTCAGGGCTCTGCGGCTGCGCCGCCCGCTGCCCTCAGCACCCACTGCTCTCCCTGCAGATGACCAGAGCTTTCTGGCCAACACCAACTGCACTGTCCTGCGGCTGCTCTCTGACGTGAGGAGGATGGTGGGGCTCCCCCACACCGGTGAGCCCTGGCTGCAGGGCTGCAGCTCCCCCCCCGCCCTGGCCGCAGGCACAGC